TTACTATAAAACCAGAAAAACGGCCAGCCTACTCATGAGAAACTCTCCAGACACAAAACAGAACGCTTTAAAAGAGACTAACGTCGTCTATGCCTTCAAATGCCCTCTTGGGGACTGTAAGCTCCAAAAAACCCAGTATATAGGCAAGACAACAACATCTCTTTCTAGGTGTTTAACGATGCATAAGCAACAGGGCTCCATTAAGGAACATATAATCTCTTCCCACAACCAAACCATCGCCAGAGAAATCCTAGTAAACAACACAGAAATCATCGATAGATACAGCGATAGCAGGCGGCTTGACGTTTGCGAGGCACTACACATCAAGAAGTCAACACCAGCAATCAACAGCCAATTATTGCACAACTATATTCTACCCACCTCAAGACTCCGCTCCAATATAGAAGCATCAAGAAATATGGACTAATAGGCTTTCTACAAACACTTCTATTCAATATCCATTGTTTCGTGTTCTGTCTTGTGTTGATGAAATTAATACCCTATTAATATCACCTCTTGTTCTGTCTTGTGTTGATGAAATTAATACCCTATTAATGCCACATCTTGTTCTGTCTTGTGTTAATGCCACATCACCCCTTCCACCTCACTCAAATGTAGATATAAAATCGGAGATGCGTAAGTTCTATTCAGTTGTGTATTTGTGAACTAAAGTCTTTGAAAATGTAATAAGTTTTATGAAACGCGCTCGTGTCGCGTCAGACTAGAAATCAAAATGAATTTTGGAGAATTGATTTTTGATATACCTCCAACAGTGAAAAGAAATGTACGAAAGATTGAGAAAATTCGTGTTAGAATTATTAATCTCACTTTTTCGGTCATATTTAATAATATATGTCTACAGGAAAGACTGCTACCAAAATATACTAATATATATATATATATATACATATATATATAAATTGTTGCAAGTCGAGCAACAAATATTTTACATTGAACAACAACTGAGATTGGAAAAGCAGTATTGCCACCTCTGCTATACAGAAAAAAATAGACCCCAGACACACCCTATGGGTAGTAATGGACCCCCATACCGACACTATGAGGGGAAGTGGACCCCATAATAACACTATGGGCGGTAGTGGGCACTATACAAACACTATGGGCGGTAGTTGACTTCATAGCGACCCTGTGGGCGGTAGTGAACCCCCTGCCGACCCTGTGGGCGGCAGTGGACTCCCTACCGACCCTGTGGGCGGCAGTGGACCCCCCCCCCCTACCAACCCTGTGGGCGGTAGTGGACCCCTACCGACCCTGTGGACGCCCTACCGACCCTGTGGGCGGCAGTGGACCCCATACCGACCCTGTGGGTGGCAGTGGCCCCCATACCGACCCTGTGGGCGGTAGTGAACCCCCTACCGACCCTGTGGGCGGCAGTTGACCCCCTACCAACCCTGTGGGCGGTAGTGGACCCTTTACCGACCCTGTGGGCAGCAGTGGACTCTATATACTAATCCTGTGGGCGATACTGGACCCTATACTCATCCTGTGGGCGGCAATGGACGCCATACACATCCAGTGGGTGTTATTGGACCCCATACTTATTCTGTGGGTGGTTGGAGCCCCATATACCCATCCTGTGGGTGATAGTGGACGCCATACTCATCCTGTGGGTGGTATTGGACCCCATACCCATCCTTTGGGTGGTTGTGAGCCCCATACCCATCCTGTCGGTGGTAGTGGATGCCATACACATCCAGTGGAAGGTATTAGACCCCATTCCCTTCCTGTGGGTGGAAGTGATCCCCAAGTTTGCAGTAGTTTACCCCATAAACATTCCACCATAACATCGTTTTCTATTAGCGTTCCTACAAAACATTCTTTAAAAAATTTTAAAGCGCAAACTATGGTATATAATATTGATTGGTGAAGCACTGTTATTCTATGTAATAATTTATAGTGCTTATTATAATTTACTAAGAACAACTAATATTTCTCAAAACAAAACTACGAGCCTTCAATAGGAAGTAGCTGATCTGTAATATTCTAAGAGTATGGACAATAGTAGGTAAATTTCACAACCCATGTGGGACCTGAAAACTACAATTTTCATTATAATTGAAGCAATGACGACTATTCTGCTATCTACGTTGATGGACGGGTACTGTGAGACGTAAATTGGTACGTGAGGAAGAGTTTGGGCCTTGGTAAAAAAGGTAACTGGAAATATATCACATATGTACTAAATCATTATTCAACATATTGACTTTAAGCATTAAGTCATATATGTGCTGTCTTGTGTGAGAACGGGTTGCAGTAAAGTTTATCTCTGATGTAATCAGTTGATTGGCTACACTTGAACAGTTTTGACCTTCTTGTTCTTCAGGCAGTTCAGTAGAGCTGATGATGAGCAAATCATGGAGTTTTTGTTGATACTGTTGTCTGGAGAGCCTGAAACACTTATAAATTCAGTACTACCTACCTAACTACACATGCTGTATTGCATATTAATGGGTTATAAGCCAGTCCAAACAGGGTATAAGTATGGAATACTATAACTCTCATACTGGGTGGGGTGGATATTATGTGGGACTGGTGGCTCATAACAGTTGTCACTAACCTGTGTTGGTGAGTGTATTATTAACACTCACGCTTCGATGTCGCTTTCCAGTGACATCCGTTTTTCTCCTGGGCCGTCTCGGATGACGCGGTCTGAAATCATCCATTAAAATATTTGTTAAAAATTAAAATTTTAACTGATCAATCTGGGTGTGGTTTCAAAATGAGCACCTTTAGATTGCGCACAATTTGATGCCAAAATGAAAGACGTAACATGAAAATTGATGTCAGAACACTGGAAAGATATAAATAATTTTGTGGTGATGAGCGTTAAAAAGTGTCCAAAAGTTAAAATATTTGTTAAAATTCTATTTATTGTTTTATTATTATGGGACTAGTTTTAAAATATGCACTTTTAGATTGCGCACAATTTGATACCAAAATGGAAGACGTAACATGAAAATTGATGTCAGAACACTGGAAAAAATATTTAGTATTCTAGTATTTCTTTTATTTTTGGCTATGATGAATTGTTCTAAATTTAATGGTAATTACTGTACTGTAGTGTATAGGCCGCTCCACATCCCCCTTATCCCCCCAGGTTATCCCTCCCAACGCTCCCCTCTCTCCCGATACCAACCACCCACCCCACCCCCTCCTACACCATGCGCCTCGATCCACAGCCGTACGGGATTAATATGGTATGGCCCGCGGCCTGGCTTTCATATCCGGACAATTCACTCCTTGTCTGGCTGACTGTCCGGATATTGCAACATCGGCAGCAAGTTAACCGGCCCAGATTTTTATCCGGACAAACACCAGATTTTCCGGCTCCTATGGACATTTTGGCTGGATATTGAGATAACTTTATCCGGTCACGATTTTGACCGTATAAGGGTGTTTTCTGGAAATTCGAATCCCGGATAATCGAGTGTCTACAGTAATTATTTTGTGTGACATGGCATTGAAATATAGCTGTGTTTTTATCATACCGTAAATTTTGTGAGTATAGATTGTTTTTGTTTTTTTGTTTTTCATTTTTTTTAACTGTTTTTCTTATATTTCAGTGATGGGAACACCAGATCATTTGATGTTCCCAATTTTCTAATGGGAACATCAGATCATTTGGGAATGCATGGGACGAGGGAGTGGGGAATGGTGGGGAAGACGAGGGGACGGGAGTGGGGGGGGGAATGGTGAGGGGGGACAGGGGAGGGGGTAATGATGGGAAGGATGAGGGGATGGGGGAGATGGGGATGGTGACGTGGGGACCGGGGAATGGAGAATGGTGGGGAGGACAAGGGGACATGGGGAGTGGGTGATGTGATGGAGTGGGAAGAGGATGAGGGGATGGGGGAGGGGGGGGGAATTGTCGGGCAGATGAGTTGATGGGGGAGTGAGAGATGGTTAGGAGGATGAGGGGATGCGGGAGAAAGGAATGGTTGGGAGGACGAGGGGACTGGGGAATGGTGGGGAAGACTGGGAGACAGGGAAAGGTTGCTGTGGCTCAACAACGCACATGTGTTGCTGAGCCACAGCAACGTGTGGCCAAGTACAGCTAGTAAGGAATAATGTATATTGGATTAATCAGTTCCAAACCACAAAAATAAATACTGTATAGTTATACAATAATTAAGTGGAATAAATGCTAACACACTACACTTTACCTGTACTTCAGAGAGTTGATGGCATATATGGAAACTAGTGAGGCAGAGGAAGAGAGATGTTCTTTGGCAGGGGAGTTCCCTAACATTAAAACTTCTGGAAGTTGTGCTTCTGATGTTCTTTCTCTTTTCTGTCTTTTTCTGTTTCCCTCATTACACTCACTGAATGTTTTCCTTACAAGAAACTTGTCCAAGGATGATTGTTTTTGCATGTGCATTAAAATGTTTTTAAAGTGAGACATAGCATTGTCATTCAACAGATTTGTAACACAGTTTGTCAAGATGATAATTTCAAGAAAAGGTTGGCACTTTCCCTCATTTTGCACACATTTCTTTTAATAGAGAACTAGAGTTAGGCATACCAAACTCTGTAACAAGAGCTGTCACTCAGGTACCACTCTCATATTTAGCTGTGAGTTCTTTCTTCATCTGTATCGTGATTCTAACCATTTTTCTTTTTGCTAGGCTCATATTACAAACTTTCATAGGTGACATGGTGACTTATTTACAATAAGAATATAAAAAATATCCAAGAAAAAAGTATAGTAGGTTGTGCACTGAACAACAGCTATGGTGAAACTGATGCATCAGGGACGCGTGTTTACATCTGAATGCCGAGCAAACAGACGAATACCAAACATGAACACAGCGTCTGAATACCGAAAAGTGCAAAATATGAGCAGTGCAAATACCGAGGCTCCTCTGTACAAAGAAATTATGTAAATATTATGTAATTTGCATCGGTAAATACAGTACAGTACCGTAATATTACTTTTTGTTGTAAATTCTTCTAGCTTAACCAAATATTTTTTTCCACAGGATAACAACCCAGAGGAATGTTCAGTGTGTTTTAACAATTATGACGACAATCAGCTACGGCCTCGCACACTGCCGTGCGGCCACACATTCTGCTCCCAGTGTATTGACAATGCTATCAAGAATGGTCAGCTGAACTGCCCCAGCTGCCGGGCCCAGCACGCTGCCACAGCTGCTACTCTGTTCCCAATTAATTATGGTATGGAAGCCCTTATCAGAAAACTAAAAGGTATCGAGGTTGCACCAGGGGTAACAGTACCAGCAAAACCCATTAAAACCCTTGCGAGAGGAATCAGCAAGAAGTTACGTTCCTTGGTGCAGGAGCAGAAGAGCATCATCAGCAGCCTCATTACTAGCTGTGAAGAGGTACTGTCCCAGCTGGGGGAGTACCGGGGGCAGCTGGGGGACTGGAAGACTCACCACCTCCAGCTCCAGGACAGACTCTATGCTCTGGTAGAGCAGAACAAGTCAGCAATGAAGCTCTTGGAACTGGAGGATACCAGTGTAGTGAATATGACAACACAAGGAGAAGAAGGGAAAACTCAGCTGCAGGCCATGTTGGGGAGCCTCGACACAGTCAACACCCCACAGGAGGTTGACACAACCATAGACACAGCTGATGAGTGCAGCATGAAGGTAGAAGATTGGCTCCAGAAGTGCCAGAAACTCTTCCCAGATGTCAAGACTGTCCACACCTCAGTGAAGGTACGTTGTTGAAGGTCACATTGTTCTCACCCAACTGAGTGTAGTATTGCCTCTATATAAACACTTTTGACATGGAGACACATCAAGATGAGAGTTGACTTTATATATAGGAAACTTCCTGGGGGGAGCCCCTTCTGCTCCACGAAGCTATCCGGACTGATATGAATGTATTAGACCCCTGACATCAGTCAAGCGAATGGAGTTCTAGGCCTAACGGGGACCACGAGCCAGAACCTGGCCTCCCCTCAGAAAGGCACAACGAGCAATGGCCTATAGAAACCCCCTGTAGTTGGAAGCATTCTATGTCTGCCATCGACCAGGAAATGCACCCAGAGAAGTAGGCGTCCCAAAACAAACCTCTACTCTGGTTAGAAGATTGCTACTGAAACCCGAACTATTGGACAGAACTCTCCAAATGAAAAATGAGCAAACGAGCATAACGTCACAACCGTCACCGTGCCACCGTCTGTGCAACTCCCCCCCCTCCCCGGCAGGGGGTAGGAGAGCCCCAGACCCCTGTGCCGGCTATCCACACTCCAGTTCTGTGGCTGATGTGCTTCCTGGACGGTTGTGTGACTCTGGCTCTGAATTTTCCAGTGCTGTGCCTTGTGATGTGGTCCTGTCCTGTGGTGGTGTGCGAGCCAGGAGTACTTTTACCAGTACTTGGTCTGCTTGCGCCTAGGGTTACCTTCCCTAGGTAGGTAGCCCTAGAGTACTGCCTGTAAGTACTGCACATGGAGCTTGGGGTTACCTTCCACAAGTCACCCTTGGGGTCTACCGCTGCTGTGGATTTTGCTGCTCGGTGATTACCCTCCATTGGAGTCAGCTGGGGTGCTTCATGCACCCCCTCTTTGCCTCTGGGAAGAAGGTAGTTTTCGTCACTGGTTGGGATGCAAGGTACTGTGCAGCTAGTTGTCACCTACTCATAGTGGCTGGCTCTGTTCCGCCTGGGCACATTGTGCTCCTGTGAGATTTTTTGTTTTTTTATTGTTTTTGTTTTCCTGCCTGGTGGGGGGTCTGCCCCTTGGTTTTGGTCCTCGCTCCAATTATATCTTGGTGGTCCTCTACTAGGTACCCGTGAGTGTACATGTCACGTGAGTTCAGCAATTTGCAGTTTGTTTTGGTAATTTTTGGCGCTGGTTAGCAGTACTTAGTCTAGGCTTCCCCTAGTGAGAATACGCGACAAAGGGCCCTGGAAAACCCCATGTGGCTCAGTGGTCTGATGGAGGCGTCCCTCGAGTCCCATCTTGCTTCGTACGAGTTTAAAGGTTGCTCTGTCTCCTTATCTCAGGGTGACACTCATCGTTTGTGCCTCCGTCATGCTGCCTGTTGGGTCGGTGACACCTTCAACCTGGAGTTCTGCGAGTTTTGTTCCTTGTTTGTGCTCCAGTACACCCAGTCCACTGATAATGATCTTCAGGTGCAGGCAGCTACGGCATTGCATGCGCGTTTTAGGTTGCTGCAATGAGCTAGGTTGGATGCTCACCCAGAAGCCCTGAAACTGCCCCATGTTTGGTTATAGGGACCCAGATTTGGGGGTGTTAGTCGTTTCGATTTTGGTTTCGTCAGTGCCCCCTTGTCCTTCCCCTGCTGCTGTTCGTTTTGTTCCTCCCCCCTCCCCCCCTGCTTCTGGCTCCGATGCGTCTGAGAGTTTCAGAGTCGGGGTAGGGTTTAGTTGGTGTTGAGACTCTGGCAGTTTCAGGGGATGCCCCTTCCTGTGTGACGATGGAGGCATTCAAGCCTGTTCCTTCAGCTGGTGCTTCTGGGTTTGACCAGTGGGCCCTCTTTGTTCCAGCTTTTCCGGCGGCTTCTGCCTTTTCTTTTGAGGCAGGGGGCTTGGAGGACGGCTCAGCCCCGGGTCCTCATGTGGAGGTTCCCGGGGCGGGTGGAGGGGTTGACTTGGGAGGCTTGGGCCCATTTCACCCCGCTTGGTTTTTGGTACTCTCTGAGCAGGGCTTGTTACAGGGGGTAGGGTTTTCTTATCTTCCCTCCCTGTACGAGTTTGATATGGCATCGACCCCTCCCCAGATTCGGTTCTGTGTTTCCTTGTGTGCTTCAGTCCAGTCCTTCCGGAGGTTTTTAGCCTCTTGCATCCTGCCTCATGAGGTGCAGGAGGCTCTTACGGTGGTTCAGGTTTACCTGGGGGACAACTTTGAGCACCTCAATGCGTGCTTGTTCGCCCCTGCCCTTCCTCGGGATGTCGGCATTGTGCAGCTTCACATGCAGGTTCCCCACCCTTTTAGCTGCCCTGGTTGCTGAGGATTTTTGTGCCCGTGGCCTTTTGGTGTTGGTCTTGCGGTTCTTTTCCCTTCTCGAGCGGTCTTTGAATTGACTTGAGGAGGACATGGAGGCACTTGGGACCGATCCTGGGTCTAATGGTTTTGAGTTGGTTTTGGCAGTGCGGGCGTCGTCTGCCCTGTTGAAGCTGTTCGCGTTGATCCTGCGGGATGTGTTTTTTTTTTTTTCTTATCTCGCATGTCAGCAGGCGGTGATCGTTCAATCCATGGAATCAGCTTGGGCTCTGGTTCTTAGTTTTCTTTGCCTGTTTGTCCTTTGCTGTTTGCAGAGTCTGCGGTGGTGCAGTATCTTCAGGTAGCCTTTTCCGGTTTCCGTCGCATATCGAACTTGTTTGTTCTCCAGGGGGCCTGTGGGGAGGTCGTCCCAGAAGGGTTGTGCTAGGGCTTGGGGTTCCTCTTGTCGTGGTAGGCCAGTGGTGCCAGTTTTGGGGACGACACAGCCTTCGGAACTGACGACGGATGGTTAGCGCGGTGATCGCTCTGCTCATAATGGGCTTTTCATATCGTTTCTGATGGCCTGCGGTGGTGTTGGGTGGCTCCTCCTCCTTTAGGGGGTTCGGGGCTGGTGGGTGGGTCCCTCAGGTGGGTCCTACATGTTTCCGGTTCTGAAACGGGACTGTGCAGACCTGCAGTTCATTCTGGACTTGTTCTGTCTGAACCCTTGGGTCTCCTGCCCCTCCTTTCGGATGTCTACTCTGTCCCAGGTCTGTCTTTTCTTGGAGCCGGGCACTTGAATGGTGTCCCTTGACTCCGGGATGCATATTGGCATGTCCCAATTCATCTGGGGTTCAGGGACTGGCTTGGTTTTGTTGTGGGGCATCAGGCTTACCATTTTCATTGCCTTCCATTCGGCTCGAATCTGGCACCTTGAGTGTTCACACGCCTTACCCAGGTCGTGGTGGCCCATCTGCTTTTCTTAAGGGTTCGGGTTTTGGCCTCTCTCGATGACTGGCTGGTGTGGGCTCCCAGCCAGTTCGCATGTCTGCTCGCCAGGGATTTGTTTTTTTCCCAGCTCACCTAATTCGAGTTCCTGGTGAGCTGGAGAAGTCCCATCTGGTTCCCTCTCAGGTTCGGTCTTGGCTGGGTCTTGTGTGGGACTCTCGGAGTGCTTCCTTGTCTCTTCCTCCGGAGGCCCTTTGGCAGCAGTCCCACCTTCGCCTGTTTCTGGGGGGCTCCCGGGTCACGCGGCGGTTGCTCGAAGGTTTGTGCGGGAGTCTGAGCTTAGCAGTGATGGTCTACCCACCGGGTTGGGTTTGGCTTCGTTGGCTGTTCTGATTCCTTTGGGGTCATCCCTTCGGCCTCTTTCACGATCGCTGGGTTTGGCCTCTGGGGGCTTTGCATCAGTTGCTGAGTCGCTGACTTCCTCTTTGGGTTTTTCGGGGGTTCACTGCCTTGCTGCTTACCCGAGCCCTCGCTCAATGTGTTCAAGGATGCATTGTCTCTAGTCTGGGGGCTTTGTTACCAGTGCTCAGAGGACCGGCCAGGGGCGATGAGGTCTTTTCTTCCTGACCCACAGTTTGGTGTGGGAGTTCGCGGCGGTGTGGCTGTCACTTCGTAGGGTTCAGGTTGCTCGCGGATTGATGGTCAGGCTCCATTTGGAGTGCTCCCCAGTGGTTCATTGCCGGGGTTCGATGTGGTCTTTGGCTCATTGGGGCTGGTCGCTTCGGTTGACTCGTCTGCTGAGTTCTCGGTGTTTGGCTCTCCTGGCAGTTCACGTTCGGGGGGGAGGGGGTCCAACGTCCTGGCGGACGGCCTGTCTTGGTTCATTCCACTGTCCACGGAATGGACAGTCGACGCTGACTCGTTCAATTGGCTCTGCCGGACATACGGGCTCCTGGAGGTGGACCTCTTTGCATCTGCATAGTTGGGGCGCCTCCCGATATATGTGGTACCCTTCCCCAACTGCAAGGCTGTCAGGGTCGACGCCTTCAGGCAGGACTGGTCAAGGTGGGGTTTCCTGTACCTCTTCACCCAGGTTCAGCTGTTACTCCATGTCGGAAAATCCGACACTATTTAATATCATACAGATAATAGCTGTGTTGTATAAACAAGTTACCCATAGAAAACGTAACTTGTAGTGGAATTACCGTCTAAAGAAAACGGGATATCATCACCACATACTATTATAATTCACCAGCTATTCTGCTGGGAATTATTCTTAAATACATTAGTCTTTGGACTTTACCATCATAAAAACATCTTATATAAATTAACTTAATTATCAATATTAAAGTAGAGTAAATGTGACCCTTCTATCACTTTCTGAAATCTGGACAAAGTAGGCCAGGCGTCAGTGGGGAAGGAGGGCAGCCATTGTTATACGAGACCAGAGGCTCACACGGGAGCAAATTCGGCTCCTGTTAATTTTACTTGGACGTAGTGTTATGGATACCAAAGGTGTACCATCTGTCAACACGCTGTCAACAAATCAAGTTAAGTGTTCTTTCCGAAACCCATTATTTATCATTAGTGGCCATTAATGTCATTATATAGGGTGACCCGGTTAGATCACATGGAAGCCTCAAACTAAAGGTAATTAAGCCAGGTCTTCATGTTCCTTGTACTGTTTTCTCTGATATACTTGTCATATATAGGTATCTGGCTTCACAGCTAGCGCACTTTTGACAGGTCAAGACGAGGATGCAAGATTTGTGCACCAGTTACTGGGTGATATGGAAGCTACCTCAAAGAGGATAATTTGGTGTCTACACCCTAGTTATACCTGGTGGACTAACCTGCTGTACTATAAGATAAGGAACCTCTTCAATGTATGTAGTTAATTTTGTAGTTTGATTGGCTGCATATATATAAACTAATAAACCCCCCCTAATGTGTAGAGGATCGATTTGTGAGATTATGAGATTATTGCAGAAATACAGTCCACTTATCATTATACAAATTGCTATCGAAGTATATAAATTAACGTAAATATAAATTCATATAAATTAAATAAATATAAATCTCACAGGTCGGTCCCCACATTATTTGGACCTTCGGAACCGGAATATTCGGTCCTTTGAACCCACATTTGGTCATCTTAGTACCGGATGAACCAGTTAACCAGTGGATTCATTAAATATACTAGTGCAGTGTGATTTAAACAAAGCCAGTCAAAGACGGCAGCGTAGC